GTACGTGTTGTTGATGTTAACAAGGGTGGGAGCGTACGAGTAGGAATCGAAGGGTGTCTCCTGCCCTGTGCGCTGTTTAGCTGAGGAAGGTAAGAAACTCCATGTTCTACGCACGCTTCTGAGATCGGGTTCCTTTCATTGTATGTCGCTTACGAGCGGGCTTTATTCTTGATTTGGCCTCTAGGTGATACCATAGTACAACAACCGGTATAGTCTGTGTTCTTTGGCGCGTGAGGAAGGGATTACCTATGTTGTTAAATTGACTGAAGAATACAGCAAGCTGATTAGATGTATTGCATCTAGAGGCATTGCTTTAAGTGGTCCTGGTTGGTGCCCGGATACCTGCAAAGGCAGAGAAGTGTACTAGGTTTGTCTTTATTTTTTTTAATATGACATCTTGCCTATATATACAAGATGTTATGTAAACTTCTTATGGCAAGATGTCATATAAAGTGGTACCGCCGCCAGTCAGGACCACTTAAAAGTGATGCTTCTAGATGCAGTACGTTTTACCAGCATACTGTACTGTTGGATCAAGAGAGAAATGAAGATGTATGCAGCATCAAGACACATTTGAAATCAAGATATCTAAATAATGTCTTGTAACTTTATCTCTTATGCAATTTTTTGTAACTTCTAAAAACATTTACATTTCTCAACCTCTTCTGCTGTCATGTTGCATCTTCTCCCTGATGTGATTATGTTCTGCAAGGTACGATTTTGTCAGCTCCTGCAAATGGAGCTGAGCAAGGCAACGTACACGTTTCCACAGGACGACTCCTCGAAGACGATTCAGTAAGCAGCACTCCTGTGTCCAACTGGCCCCACATTCTGGAAGGGTTTTCTTTCAGAGAAATCTAATGCCCAGTGCTTTTAACCAACAACGTGTATCTTCCTCACTTTGACTATTTCTTAATGTTTCTCTAGTAGGTAAAATAGAGGTTGGTGTAGTGGTGTACTTCTGTACGTACACCTTTGTGAACCCCTAAGGCACAAGTTTTCAAACTCATGTTCAGTGCTAACCTACAGATATTCTTCAAACAGCAGAGTCATGTAATCCTTTACTCATTCTTTTACATGTAGTTCATTGGTTTTAACATTAGGAAAGAAGCTTAAAACCCCATTATATAATTGTGGGTTTTTTTTTTTTTCTTTGCATAATTCCGAATCTTAATTCTGCCATATTAGTCCCATTTTAAGACAGACAAATCTGGTCTTCTCCAAATTCCCCTGGGGAAACCTGTTCTGCTTTGTGGTGTGCTGCTCTTCTCTCCTGATGGTGCTCAGCTTCTTGTTTAGTATTTATGTAGTACTTTGATTGTACAAAGCGAAACAAAGCTTTCAGAACTAAGCTTTATCAGCTTTTTTATATATTTGCGAGGGAGTGATCATGCATCAGTGACAGCTAGGTTGGGATTAACCTTAAGAAGGCAGTTGAAATTTTTAGTATGTTGAGAGTAAAAATACTGGCTGCTTATGCAGGCTAGTATTTCTGATCTAACTTGCCCTTATGTTGTCAGCAATGGTGGGGAATTTCTCTTAGAATTTTTTGAATGTGCCAGTAGAAGAATGGGTACGGCAGAGTCAGTACACACAATTACTTGTTTTTCATCTGTATAGTCACGTGTGATGGGGGAGGCATTACTACAGATCAGAAACCTGTTTTCTGTCTCACATGAGGAAAGGGACAAAAAGTTTGTTTTTTCTTAATGATTTGGAAAAAGGGAGAAGGAGGGGAGGGAGGAGGCAGTATCTGTAGCTGGGACAAAATTACTTAGGTTTATAAAGATGAGAAATAAGCAGCAAGGAACTTAATTAAACTAGAAGAACTGACAATGTAGTGAAGATACTAATCAGTGTTGATAAACTGGAGTAACACACTGTGCAGAGTAGCTTGAGCTGCTTGTTTGCTTTGTGCTGTTCTTTTAATTCATGCATAAAGCAAGAAAAAAACCAACTGGGTAGTTCTGTAATCTGTGAGGATTACTGAAGTCTCTGTAGCAATAATTTGAAAAGGAAACAGTCTGGATAAGGATGAAACGGCAAATACACTGTAATGCTGTTATATTAATCAGTGCTGCAACTCTCTGAGTATGTATTTGATAATGGCTGCTGTGTCTCAAAAGCAAATATCAGCGAGAGTTTGGTGAAGAAATTATTTGAATGGGGAAAAATTGAAAAAAATTATATCAGGAGATAAGAAGAATGGTGAAACATCCATAGTAAATGTTGAAAAATATAGGGAAGATTGTTTCTTGTTATCTTTTCTCTTTATACAGGAGCTTGTACAGAAGTTTGACCTTTAGGTATATAACCTCCAATTAAAGGATGTTACTTGACTTTTTTATTTCTTTATTTTCTCCTCCCAAAGGGCAATATCAGCAGTTAAATGTTCCTGAAGACCAAGCAGACAAGTTGCTCCTTGCAAGCTGGGGTCTTCCCAAAGCAGTTCTGGAGAAATACCACAGTCTGGGAGTAGTACAGATGTTTGAATGGCAAGCAGAATGCCTAATGCTTGGACAAGTTCTGGAAGGAAAGAACCTAGTTTACTCAGGTATGCAAACATCTGACAAAACCAGTGCCTCCTAGCTTTCCCAGTGCCATTTACAAGAACATGTTGTTGCTGAAGGGTGCTGGTCTGGGAGATAGAAAAAGGTAAAGATCTTCTGATTTCTGGAGAGACCCCATTAAGATCTGTCCCATCGGTTTACTTCAGACCTGGCTTGGTGGACTCTTTTCCAGATGTGAGGAGAGGCTTTTTTCCCCATTTTCTCTGTTAATGTTAATTTAGAAGCTGATAATTAGGAGTCAGTTAATGATGACTATCTCTCTTTTATTACAGACTATGTCAGCCAGGAACTGAATGATAACAGCAATGTTAGATATAAATACTTTTGAAATTTTTGTTTACTGTCTAACTTTTTCAGTCCCTTTATCGTTTCTCTTCATGTAGTGTATGGGGGAGGGTGCAGAAGAAGTAGGACTGGTGGACTAGAAATCTTTGGGAAATGACAACTTGGGTGTCTGCTCTCTATGGGAAGAAGGTCCCAGAGTAGCACGGGGACGATGAAGAACTTAGATTAGGCTTGGATTTTTATTTACTTGGTTTTATTTACTTGATTCCAGAAGACTTTGGGCATGATTGCTGTCCCCTGGTAGGTGGCATTTCCACTACAGTTTTCTGTGGTTGACAGGTGGCAAACAGCAATGCTTGTCAACCAGGAGGGGTTGATAGAGTTACGGGGTAGGTCAGTAAGGTGGTGGCTGACGTCTCCTGTCCAATCAAGAAACTGTAGTGGGTTTTTTTGTTCAGTTGGGGTTTTTTCCCCTTGCTTATCTCTGAGCTGCTCTTGCTTCTGGAGCAGAGATGAGAACACAAGTATTGGTAGCATAATGGAAGAGGCCAGAAGAGAAATACTTTGCAGTATTCTTGACCCTTTATGAGGTTAACTGCAAATGTGGTTGTGGCTCTGGGAGAGGAGCATCAGTTGAAGGGTCTTGCCCCAAGTTCTTCAGTAACTGCTTTCTATGCTAGCTTTGTGATGCTTGTTCTTTGGATTTTTTTTTTTAAACTTTACAAGTAATTTAAAAAAAAAAAAACAACTTTTTTTTTTTTTTCCCCAGCTCCTACCATTGCTGGAAAGACTCTTGTTGCAGAATTGCTTATTTTGAAGCGAGTCCTTGAGACTCGTAAGAAAGCTCTTCTCATCCTGCCCTTTGTCTCTGTGGCCAAGGAGAAAAAATGTTATTTGCAGGTAAGTAGCATTCAGGAAGGGTAAATTTGTGGGTTGTAGTTGTTGGATCACATTTTTTAAACAGAATTTTTTGCGTGGATTTGAGGAAAAAAAAATTGGCAGAGTTGTTTAGAAAGGATTTGTAGATAATTTAAAAATTTCTCTTGTTCTAAGTTGGAGAGAAAAAAAAAAATGAAAATTTTAGCCAAAAAGGGAAACTTGGAAAAATTTTGAGGAGTTGATTAAAACATTTTATTTCAACTTTGGTTTTTAAAGCATTGTTACTTGTGTTTATTCGCAAATTTTATAATATACAAACTTTAAAGGTATTTTCTAATTAGAGATTGTGTCTGAAAAACTACAAAGGGAAGGTGTCAACATTATCTGAAAGGATAAAAGGATATTTTAGCTTTTCTTGGGGTGTTCCACCAGAATTTTGTGCTTTTGATTTCACTTTGAGTTTGCTAAAAATATATCCTGACAGAATGTGGTTATGTCTTGGCTTCCTCACCCCAGCTATTTAAAAACAAAATTATAGTGAGAACAGTCTTTTTAGAACAAAAATATTTTTTCTTGAAAGACTTTCATATCAAACATTACCTATTATCCATTAGCTAATATGTCAAAGTGACAACAATTACTAAAAACAAAGACAAAACCAGCAGGCATTTTTGTCGTAGTTTCTGACGTTTAAGACATTTTGGGTGTTAATAAACTGAGATGGTATCTTAACCTTGCAAATTGCTAGGAAATGCTGCAAACTGACTGCAAAAGCTACTTTGTAGTGATTGATAATGGAGACATGCTTTTGCTTTAATCTTGTAAAGCTGGAGGATTATCAATGATGTGTTCTACTACTCCTGGCCTAAGGTTTGGCTGTAGCTGCACATACTTGAAATCGTATGGTATCCTACCCCGCTGCTTCAAACATTTGTACCTTTTTTAATGCAGTGTGTAATATGCCAGAGTTTTGGCACTGCAGTAATAAGCCGTGGAAGAAAAGAAGTCGTTGTTTCTTGACTTTCAGTGGGAGATGTGACATCTTTGTGTTTGGGGTCCCACATTTGGCTTTTGCCCAGGATTTCTCAGGAGCAAGGCTTCTTTGTGCATAACCCACTGGGCTTGTAAACTGTTGCACTGTGTGTTCTCTAACCTTTTTTATAGTACATGTTTTTATACAAAACAGTGGTCCCCATCTCTTACTCAGTTTTGTACGCTTTATCCTGCAATGAGTGCTGTGTGGTTTGTGCTTTGGAAATAAAAAATGACAGTAGGAAAAAAAAAGTATCACTAACTGGCTGAGCTATGGCTTTAATCTGATTAGTTGGCATTGTAAATACTAGAAATTGTGGTTGTAGGATGCAGGTTTTTATGTGATTCCAGCAGGCATTGAGAGTTGTAACCTTGGCATGACGTTCTGTATCCTTGAAAAACAGGCCCTGTTTCAGGAGGTGGATGTGAGAGTTGAAGGCTACATGGGAAGCATGTCTCCTGCTGGACGTTTCTCTGCCTTGGATGTTGCTGTCTGCACCATTGAGAAAGCCAATGGTCTAGTCAATAGACTAATAGAAGAAAACAAAATGGACTCACTGGGTAAGATACTAAAGCTTCACCATTGCAGGGATGAAGTTCATTACATACTCTGAGTACACCTGAAATCATGGGATGCTTTCTATTTGCTCAGATCTGCATGTGACAGATATGCCATATAGCAAAATTGAGCAATTTTTCGTCTTTTAGAGCACCACTGATTTGGATTTAGGAAGACAGTTGGGACTATTTGATGCAGCTCAGCGGCTGGGATGAGTAGGTAGAATCTGCGAGTTTTAGGTTGTCTAACATGGATGACAATCCATGGGCAGTGATTAACTGCAATAAGCAGTGATTCCCACAGCTAGAAAATGTCTTCTAATTAATGAAATTGAATTAAAGGTCTGGGATATGTTTGAGTTCAAGAATGTATGTGTGTTTGTTTCTTTGGGACAGAGATCATGTACATATGGCATCAGTGGTTTATCTTCACTTAGCTCACGGAAGAGGCAGAACTGTGTTTGGTGCTCATCTGGGTCCAGATAAATGGAATGAATATGTAGAGCTCCTGTGGATAGGCATGGTGATTAGGAGGGCTGTGACATTAATTTCTCTCTTGTAGTTTGCTCAAAAGCCTTGTAACATAGACTTATGGGTCACTCTGGCCCCAATGGCCACTAGGTAGTGGTAGTATTCATTTAGTGTTTGGGAGGAGATATAAAACCTGAAGGTGGCCTATGTTTACAGTGTGTACTTGGAGAGACATGTTTTCCTAGTGATTTGTTCTTTTCTTTCTTTGCCTACTCAGTAAAGCTATACCTAATTATATTTTATACAGTTAATCCCCCCCCATCTTCACTCTGGCCTGTAACATTGCTGGTTGCTATTTTAAAATTATAAAAATTTGAAAGCTACATGAGTATCAAACTGCTCTGAGACCTCTACCTATGAAACTGCTGTTCCACGTGCATCTGGTGTCATAATATTCTGCAGCATTGTATACCAGAAGAGTTTTTTAAACACCAGAGAGAATAATGGAAATGAAGCCCTGCCAGTTCTGTCAGAGTGTGAGATCATGGGATAACGCGTTCACACCTGGATCTCCAGGGGCTGGGTCACCACGCATGCCACCATGCATCACCACTAACTGTGGGCTGGAAGGAGAGTGGACGACTGTGGTTGTGCAGGATTTCAGGCTCATGTGAATTGAAGCTCCTGCATTCCAGCCCTATTCTTGAATGTGTATCTTCATCCCTTCCCTTGCAAGACAACTGGCGATCGTGCAGTAGTTATTTCAATATCTGGCTACTTAGTTTAGGGATTTTTTGTTTGTTTTAAACAGGGTTAGTTTGATCCAAGGTCACTACGCTGTACAAGCTGGACTGCCAGCATAAGGCAGAGGGTGGGGTCATGATGTCTATGTTTATGTTGGTTTGGGTTCCTTGGAAGTGTACTCAGTATACTAAAATGTATTGTTTAATGATCGCATCTTTCAGAAGCTGCAGATATGCCAAATCCCTTTGGTTGTTACCTTCATTCCATCCTTAGATTTTGTTGAGCTCTCTAAGATGACTGTACCTGGGAAGACTCATATAAGTATAACCAGCCAAGTGATTAGAAGATTTGAGTTTGAAGTATCCTCAACACCGATACCTCCTTAAAGAATTATGTTTTTCTTTCACCATTTGAAAACACCTCTGCTGCAACCCTTGGTTTGCCTTGTGCCCCAATATCAGCATGTAACTGAAATAAGGGTAAAACTGTGGTGTGTTTTTTTTTCTTTGTATACTTATTTGAAATTATTTTTTAAATTAAATTTGAGTTTAAAAATCATCTTTAAATTAAGAAATTGACAAATTTTCTATTTGGAGATAAATTTTCATAAAAGCTGAAAATACAAGCATGAGCTGAAAATGCCAGTTTAACTGTCACCTACAGCAAGCTTGTCTGAAACTGCAAGATTGTACCTCGTCTTCTGATTAATTCTAACTTTAGACTAGTTCGTAACGAGGGTGTTTTATCTTTTGAGATGAGTTATTGGAAGATGACTGCAATTCTGGCTGAATTCCATCTCAAGCTTGAGCTGTTCCTTTTGTTGATGTCAACCCCCTGCTGATAGCTCACGTTGCCTTTGGAAATTGTTGAGAGAAACTCAAATCCTCTGCCTGGTAGAGTTCTCTTTGCTGTACGAAGCGGTTAAAAGCAATTTTGTGTTGCTAATTATTATATAACGTGTCAGTTTTGAACATCCACGTACACAGGAGATGATATTCCTCTTGTTCAGCCTCTTGACACTGATGCTAAAGAAATTTTTAGGAAAGCGGATTAGAGAGGAATCTGCTGCTTTCTCAACATGTCAACTGGGAACAGATTTGTGATGTCCTGTTGTGATACTTGTTTATTTTCTTAATTTAAACTTGAAATTAAAAAATTACTAGTTTAATTGTACTTCAAAAAAATAAATTCAAATAGTCCCTGCCTGTCATTCAGAAATTTTTAGTTTTAAACAGGATGTGGATTTAAAGCAGCCTAGTTAATCTACAGTAAACATGAATGATAGCTCTCATGTACTTTTTAGTAGGTTTTTTTCAACAGCCTTCTAGGGACACACCTCATTTGCAGAGAGAAAGAGGGGCTGAGTAGCAATGCAGTGTGATGAAATTCTGTCCCCACTTGTACTCCTGAGCTTGTTGTTGAGTAGAAAATACCATTGCATGCTGATACCTGTAGTCCTCCTTGGCTGCAGTTCCATTTTAAGATGAGGATAGCTTTGCAAAAAATACCTGATTGCTGCTGCTGTGTTATCCCAGTGGGTGTTTTCTTAGTACTGCCTGAGTAGAGGAGAGCACCGTGCTTGTGTGACAGTCAGGTCTCACCAGCTTGCAGACCGCCAGGGCAATACAGTACACAGGTTTAGTGTGGGTTTGAGTATATTGTATATTTGAGTATATATAATATTTGAGTGTATTATAGCTGAGTGGCAGCAGAAGGTATAGAACAAGTGGCCCGTACAACAAATAGTGGTGTTCCTTGTGGTTTGGCCTGTAGGTACCACTAGTGTTCTATGCTTCGTTTCAGGAAGCAAAATGTGCTGTTGCTTGGCACAAAGACTGGAAAGGTAACTTGTATGAATTTTACTTTGCTAAAGTACTGATCACACTGTCCCGTCTCAGCTGCTGGAAGAATTCAGACAGACTGTTGTACGGGGAAGCAGGAAGAAGCTTTTTCTGGTAGCTGAATAAATATGTGTTTGGTGACCAATGAATTACCATATTTTATAAGTGAGCACAGAATAGAGGAAGTACAGGAAGAGAGAGGAGCAGGATGGGTGGGAGTTTGTAAAAGAGGCTGATGAAGCAGTGCAGTGCTCTTTTCTAACTAAAGTGGCTTGAACGAGAAGGGGGGAGAAAACAGACGGAGAGAGAAGGAACATATGTAGGAAGGAGAGGAAAAAAAAATGAGAAGGAAAAATAGCATTGAAACAGATAATATAAGGTCACATTTGCCCTTAAGCTCCTGCTATTTTAGCTGTACCAGGAAGATATTACATAGCTGCACCAAAGAGGAAAAAAATTCCACAGCAGCAGAACTAATGAAGCCTGGTGTCCTTTGTGCCCTGCTTTTTTTGCTTAACCTTCCTTCAGCCTCTTTGATATCCCCTCTGACTGTCAGCTGACCGGAAAGAGTACATACTGCTGCTAGTTGGGATGTGTGCAGGAGGTGCACTGGGTGGCTGAGTTGTAGTGGCTCAATGTTTTCTCTTCAGGGGAGACCCTAATCTGGTCTGTTGTCTTCAGCTGCTGATATTCAGAAAGCTTTTTAGACATTATTCTTTTCAGTATTTCTACACATTTTAAAAATTTGATGGAGGTGGCTAATAGATTAAAGAGTCATTTGCAGGAGGTAGGATGACAACAGAGCAGTCACGTTAAGGATTTTTTTCATGAGAAAGCCAAAGCTAAATAGTAGAGCTCATTCAGGTTTCGTTAGTGAGAAAAGATATAATAGGTTGCAGGCTGTGCCTGTGTCATTTCATCTGCTCTAGGTTTTTTTTTCCGACATTACTGTATTAGTAAGGAGTGATGTTTTCAACAGAGACAGTGATGTCAACAAAGCTTTTGACTAGCATATTTGGATGCTGGAATGTTACTTTCCAGATACTCCGAAGCCTGGGGGGTTTTACTTGCAGAGAGGTTACAGTATAGATGCTGCAATACTGTTTTGCGTGGTGGCCAGACTAGCAACTCAACCTATTTATTTTTATTTTTTTAAAAGCTGATTGTGTGTGTGTGAGGTTATCAGGGGTGTGAAATGTTGTGACATTGGTCATGATTTGTATCTTTTAGAAGAATCAGTGACAGAAGGAAGCCATGGTGGTGTTGGTAAGCACAACAGGATTTGTAAATATACATTTCGGTTCATCACATGGAATATGAAGGGATCAAGGCTATCTGTTCTCAGTTTGGAGTTTTGTCAGATATAACCTGAGTGCTTCTCTTTATCAGGAGTGGTGGTTGTGGATGAATTGCACATGCTGGGAGACTCTCATCGAGGATATCTGCTGGAACTCCTTCTGACCAAAGTTAGATATGTTACAGAGAAGGTGGCAAAACGGTGGGTAGACCAGGATGTTTGTCTTCTTATGCTAAATTATAGATGGCTCTAAATATTTTGTCCTCTGGGTGATTGGAAATTTGGGTTAGCTTCAGGGTTTTTATGAGAGTGATGACCTAGACTATTTTGGTTATTAAGGTCTCATCATACCATCTCTCAGGGGCCTGCTGTTGTAGTCAAAACCTCTTTTCCTCATGGTTTTCAATTTGTGTGCTACCATGGGATTTATTCTCTCAGGAAAAGAAATAAGGCTGAAGCTTTCATTTACTTTTTTAACCTATTTAAATTTTTTTAAAAACTTTGGATTTCTTTTAACATTTTTGCTAGTGGACTTGCCCTGCTTAGTTTTTCAGTGTTTCATGGAATGGGGTTTTTATCCTACTGAAACATTCGGGTGCTGTGGAAGAGTTCTCATGCTGTTAACTTGTCAATGGTGAATTGATCAGAAGACTTAAGAAGATGTGCCAGTAGTCTGCTTTGTTAGCAGTGCTCAGGGTGATCTGTGGTTTTGCTTATAACATGTGATAGCATAATGGTTGCATGATTTCTTGTTTTTAGCACAACTGATTGGACACTGGGGAACAGATTTGATGTTTCAGAAGAGCTTTAGAGGCTTTTAAGAATTCAGTATCTAGATTCCTAACACCAAACTATCTAGTGGCTCCATAGTGCCCAAACACAGACAAAGGCAAATGGAGGAGATGGTGCATCAATCACCTTAATCTTTTTTGGTGGTGCTGAGAGAATAATTGAAATCAACTGTTCCCTTAGCACCAAAAGCCAGATTTTGCCAGTTTTCTCTGCTGCTTCCTGTCCTGTGAGTCATACCAGTGCAGGGCTAAGCACAGACTACTTATTTAGAATCATAGAATTGTCTAGATTAGAAGACACCTTTAAGATCATCAAGTCCAAACATCAACCTAACCCTGCCAAAACCACCACTAAACCATGTTCCTAAGCACCACGTATACCCATCTTTTAAATATCTCCAGGGGTGGGGATTCCACCACTTCCCTGGGCAGCCTGTCCCAAGGGTTTGATAGCCCTTTTGGTGAAGAACTGTTTCCTAATATCCAATCTAAACCTGCCCTGGTGCAACTTGGGGCCATTTCCTCTTGTCCTATCAGTTGTTACTTGGGAGAAGAGACCAACCCCACCTCACTACAACCTCCTTTCAGGTAGCTTTAGAGACTGATAAGGTCTCCCCTCAGCCTCCTTTGCTCCAGGCCTAAATATTCCCAGTTCCCTCAGTCATTCCTCATAAGACTTGTCCTCCAGACCCCTCATCAGCTTTGTTGCCCTTCTCTGGACATGCTCCAGCACCTCAAGGTCTTTCTTGTAGTGGGGGTCTAAAACTGAACACAGTCCTCGAGGTGGGGTCTCACCAGTGCCGAGTATCAGGGGACAATGGCTTCCCTTGTCCTGCTCACGACCCTATTTCTGATAGAGGCCAGGATGCTATTGGCCTTCTTGGCCACCTGGGCACATTGCTGGCTCATATTCAGGCAGCTGTCGACCAGCACCCCCACGTCCTTTTCTGCCAGGCAGCTTTCCAGGCACTCTTCCCCAAGCCTGTAGCGCTGCATGGGGTTGTTGTGACCCAAGTGCAGGACCTGGCACTTGGCCTTGTTGAACCTCATAGCATTGGCCTCGGCCCATCAATCCAGTCTGTCGAGATCCCTCTGTAGAGCCATCCTGCCCTCAAGCAGATCAACACTCCCGTCCAACTTGGTGTCATGTGCAAACTTACTGAGGGTGCACTCGATCCCCTCGTCCAGGTCATTGATAAAGATATTAAAGAGAACCAGCCCCAATACTGAGCCTTGGGGAACGCCACTTGTGACCGGCTGCCAACTGGTACTCACCACCACTCTGGGCCCAGCCATCCAGCCAGTTTTTTACCCAGTGAAGCATATGCCCATCCAAGCCGTGAGCAGTCAGTTTCTTCAGGAGAATGCTGTGGGAAATGGCGTCAAAGGCTTTACTAAAGTCTAGGTAGATGACATTCATAGCCTTTCCCTCGTCCACTAAGCAGGTCACTTTATCATAGGAGGAGATCAGGTTAGTCAAGCAGGACCCGGCTTTCATAAACCCATGCTGACTGGGCCTGGCACCTGTTTGTCCTTCATGTGCCATATAACGGCACTCAAAATGATCTGTTCCATAGCCTTCTCTGGCACTGAGGTCAGACTGACAGGCCTGTAGTTCCCCAGATCCTCCTTCTGGCTGTTCTTGTAGATAGGCATCACATTTGCTAACCTCCAGTGAACTGGAACCTCCCCGGTTAGCCAGGACTGCTGATAAATGATGGGAAGTGGCTTGGTGAGCACTTCTGCCAGCTCCCTCAGTACCCTTGGGTGGATCCCATCTGGCCCCATAGACTTGTGTCTGTCTAAGTGCTGTAGCAGGTCACTCGCTATTTCCCTGTGGATTATGGGGGCTTCATTCTGCTCCCCACCCCTGTCTTCTAGCTCAGGGGGCTGGGTACTCAGGGAACAACTGGTCCTACTACCAAAGACGGAGGCAAAGAAGGCATTAAGTACCTCAGCCTTTTCGTCATCTTTGGTCACTGTGTTTACCTCCCTGTGTAATAAAGGATGGAGATTATCCTTAGTCCTCCTTTTATTGCTCATGTATTTATAGAAACATTTTTTATTCTCCTTAACATCAGAAGCCAGATTAAGTTCTAGCTGGGCTTTGGCCTTTCTAATTTTCTTCCTACATAGCCTCACAACATCTTTGTAGTCTTCATGAGTGATTCGCCTTTTCTTCCAAAGACCATAAACTCTCCTTTTTTCCCCGAGTTGTGACGATAGCTATCTGTTCAGCCAGGCCATTTTTTTCCCTGACAGCTCATTTTCCAGCATGTGGGGATGGCCTGCTCCTTTAAGACTTCCTTAAAATGGCCTTTAACACTTCCTTCTTAAAGAATGTCCAGCCTTCCTGGACTCCTTTGCCCTTCAGGACTGCCTCCCAAAGGACAATGTTAACCAAGTTCCTGAAAAGACCAAAGTCTGCTCTCTGGAAGTCCAGGGCAGCAGTTTTGCTGACCCCCCTCCTCGCTTCTCCAAGAATCAAAAACTCTGTCATTTCATGATCACTATGCCCAAGATGGCCTCCAACCACCACATCCCCCACAAGTCCTTCTCTGTTCACAAACAACACATCCAGCAGGGCACCTTCCCTAGTTGGCTCCCTCACCAACTGTGTCAGGAAATTATCCTCAACAAACTCTAGGAACCTCCTAGTTATAGTTCTGGGGGAACTGCTCTCCACCAGACATTTTAGCCAGTATTTACTGGCAGTGTTCTGGGTCTATATTTACTGGCAGTGTTCTGGGTCTAATCACCTCTGACTTTTTCTCATACTCTCCCCATAAGTCCTGGAAGGCAGTACACTTGAGAGCAACACGAATGGGTTAGCCACTCCTTTTACCTTGGCTTATAATGTGACTGCAGCAGAGGTGCAGGTCCATTCTCTGCTTTCCTCCATTGCACTGAAGAAGCAGAAGGAGAAAACATTTGTTAGGGAAAAAGGGACAGATGCATCAAGGTGTGTTCGTGGGAAGACACAGTACTTGGGCCTTCACCATATAGGTGCTAGGGCCCAGATTTTCCATCTCTGTCAGGATCAAGTTGACAGTGGTTCCCTGTGCCACTTACTGACATGAAGGAGGTGGCTGCTATTTTTGTTTTGGAATCCTCTTGAGATTTCTGGAGTTGAAGACCACATTTTCTCTCAAATGTCCTCCCAAGTCTGTGGTGCTTTTTTTCCCCCTGTTATTTAATGGGAACCCCTTTAACCAAATTCTTTAAATACTGTCCAGCCTGACCGACTATCAGAATGACCAGTGCTTTTAAGAGATTTTTAAGTGGTTAGCTGGATGTCCCACTGAAGTATAAACTGTGTGTCTTTGCACCCAGAGAATGTTCTCTGATGGTCATTGCCAGTGTGGGTGCCCTTGCTTCTCCGTGAGGTTTTTGCAGATCCAGCCAAAATTCTGCAGCAGATTTTTCTCCTCACCAGTCAAAGAGTGTGTTGTGGAGCTGGAATTTTTTTAATCCTTGGAGATCAAAAGTTACATTAGGGGGGGAAAGGTCAAAAGTTGCTGTAGGGGGAAAAATCTGCAACCTAGATGGCAGAGCTGTAGTAGCAAATGCTTGAAGAGCTTGGATAAGGAGAGTCTGCCTCTCGACATCTTCCTTATTTCTGCCTCATCAGTGAATGGCCTTTTTTACTCTAGCTTCTGGATAATCTTGTTTCCTAGGCTATCTTGTCTTTGGCAGGATTACCAGGATCTTCTAAGAAGGTTCAGGCTGTTTCTGAGCTCACATTGATTTCTTGGACCTTTTCATTTTTTCAAGTGTCAATTTGTGGCTCAGTGCAATGCAAATGAGTAGTTTTCAAATGTAGGCTTAGGAGCATACCCCCCCCTTATTGTGTGGATTTAAAAGCCTCAATTAAAATATACATTTGGGTATCTAAATTAATGGTTTCTGTTTTCAAGTCTGTTAAGAGCCCATTACTTCTCATTGCCTTTTGGAAGCTGCTATTTGGCACTTTGAGAACTGAAGCTGCTTTCTTCTTTGCTGAACTATGGGCTTTGGTTCCCAACTCTGGAAAGACCTTACTCTAGTATTATCTCTCCTGAAATTGAAACAAATGGAAGTGTTTTAATTAAGGCATTTAAGCTTAGAAAGACTGCAGTGGAGTCTGAACCATTCCTGTATTTCTGTGGTTTTGTTAATGGAAAGGAAACAGTTGACTTATTTATTTGTTTTCAGTTTCTCAAAATATGCGATCAGCTTATAGCTGTTGTTACCTAAAGAAGCTTAAAGTTTAGGTTCAAAATGATAAAAAGTTGAATTATCTTGTTATCAGTGCATAACCTGACATTGTGTTTGCTAAGAGTAGAACATGGCTTGTTTCTTTGTTAAGAAGTTGAAAAAAATAGCTTTGCATTTTTGACGCTGTAAAGAAGTAGACAGAGTTAGTTTTTCTGTTTCCCAGAACAGTAGCCTGTGTTGTCACTAACTTTCATTTTCTTTTAACTGTTTCCAGACAAGCAAAGATGACCAGTCCTGGTTTTGGTGCGATACAGATAGTAGGCATGAGTGCTACCCTACCTAATTTGGGACTCCTAGCCTCATGGTTAGATGCAGAGCTATACTGTACGGATTTTCGCCCTGTGCCCCTCAAGGAGTGGGTGAAAATTGGCAGCAACATTTATGACTCTGCCATGAATTTAGTGCGAGAATTCCAGCCCAAACTTCAACTGAAGGTAACAAAACTCTGACCAGTGGCTTGGGATAGGACCTTTTGTACAGCTAAAGTTAAAAAGACAGCTACTGCAATGATTTTAATTTTTCTTTAATAGATGACATTCCTGACTTCATTGCTTATTTTGTAGATTTCTCAAACCGAGAACAAAATTGGTTTTTTTTTGGTCTTCTACTGATTTAAGCAAAAAACCAAACCAAAACACACTCATGAAGTTCTTGAATTTTCTTGTATCTGACTTGAAGACAATGTTGACTTTGCAGTTATCTTGTTTCTAAGCGCTTGACAGGTATAAAGAGTTTGATTCTCCCCTTACCCACTACCCTATCTTGTGTCCTGGAATCTACTTCACTTTCATAAATGAAGCTAAGTATTTCCTGGTTAGGCCAAGGAATTTACATTAATCATTGGGAGAATATATTTGCATTGCAATCTGGTATTGAACCTGCTTATATTAAATGGCTAAATGATCTAATTTTGTCAGTGATTTTGTCAGGCAGATATCCATCCTGATTCTTCTGGATCTGTTTTCAGTATTTAGTACCTTTGCGCACTTGAAAAGGATATGAAAAGGGTAATGTACTATAATGATTTGGAAGAACCAAATGGGTAGAAATGGGAAATTTGTACTTCTTACTTGTAGGTTCCTTTTCTGTGGAGTCTTTGAAGGGTGATGTCTATCCCCTCTCCTTTCAACTGCTCTGTGTAATACTAGTGTAGTAGTCAGACAATATGGGCTGAAGGCCAGGAATATTTTGTAATATTTACACCCAGTTCCCCATGTGTGCAAACATTCTGTTAGCAGTAGCATGGTGGCACAATAAAGAAAAAGGATCCTAGAAACAAAAGGAAAGGTTTGTGACAAGAATATCTAGAAGCTTGCTTTTATGTGGCCATATTGAGAAGGTGATGTTACATCTCCTTTTCTCAGTGTTTTTTTGAAGTCGTTGCTTTGGACAGGTACTAAATTAAGTGAGAAAAAGAGCTCAGCTAAGCTCATGACTCAACAGTTTAAGGGAGTTGGCTTATTTTATAAGACCAAGTGATCCTCTTGGGCTTGAAATCTATTACTGGACCTTCAGAATTCTGTTCTGTGCCTCAAACTGGACCAGAAAAGTGAACTTGATGACCTCAGCACTTCTGAATTTGGCTGAATGCTTACCTGCCATTGCTCCCCTGTTTTCATTTGCATTTTAGTGCTTTTTATTTCTGACTGCATGCCTACCTTTTTTCTCTTCCTCCTTTGGCTTGCTTGCTGTAAGAGAATCTGGCTCAGCCAAGCAAAACAGATCAATTGCAGGAACTCTTTTAGGATCTTAAAACCAAAAAGGCAAGCTGTAAACAGTGAGGTTTTGCATGCACACCTATCTAAGTATCCATAAAAGCCTTCCACTGTGCTCTGAATGCTTGCAGTCTTTGGTCAGCAGTGCTTGCTGGGTGCATCATGTTGGGGATGCTCAGATTGCTGCATCTTATGCTTTTAGTTCAAACATCCTAGTTGATAAGTCTTCCTTAGTTACTGTAGAGCGATGTTTTCCCTTGGGGCTCTTCCTAGTTCTTCCCCACTGCTGTTGCCCAAGACTTGGAGGCTGCACTGATTTTTTTGTGTGGCCTTCATTCAGAAACAGACTTATGAAAGCAAGATGCAAAGCCTTACATTTTTTTCATGGGTAGGTGTAGGGCTGTCCTTAACAATGTGGTAATATTAGGGCTTGGACTTCCTAACGCAAGACAGTAACTAAGATAACAGTGCTCAATCTTCTTTCTTGGCTCCTCTTTCTGACTTGAAGTAGAAGATTCCTACTGTGACACAGAAGAAGGACAGCATTTACAAACCCCATTCAGCGTGAGAGTGCATTGAAAATATTTTCTCTCAATTCAGGGAGATGAAGACCATGTTGTGAGCCTGTGTTATGAGACTGTTTGTGGTGGCCATTCAGTCCTGCTTTTCTGTCCATCCAAGAATTGGTGTGAGAAGCTGGCAGACATCATTGCCAGGGAATTCTACAGTTTGCAACAGGCTGAGAGTAAGAGAAAAGTAGTCAATAGAAGACTGTAGTATGCACAGTGCCTTTAAGGAAATTTAATTTTAGTAGAAACTATAAAAATATTTTCTCTCTCAAGGTTCTGCAAAAAACTCAGCCCTTGCCCCAGTTGTTGTGGACAGAGAAGGGATTGATGAGGTGCTGGATCAGCTAAAGCGTTCTATCTCGGGCCTGGACTCTGTGCTCCAGCGCACTTTGCCGTGGGGAGTGGCATTTCATCATGCAGGTATTCCTGAATATCTTGGTCTTGAATTCTGTAACGGTCAAGTCATATGGCTTCTATTTGCTGTAGTTACCAGCAATTTACAGTTGTTTTTTAAAGCCTTCTCTAGCTTATGACTGAATTAAAATGCTTCAAGAATCTCACAGTTAGAGGTAAACTTGAAATTCTTTTATTGTGGTCAAAGACTTTAATTCACTAATTGTTATGATAAATCTTCTCTCTTTTGTATTGGATAACAGCAACTTTTAAAATACAACTTTTTTTTGGTGAAGTGCCTGAACAATTACCTGACTGCAGCCCAAGCACTTTCAAGTTGTCCCTAAAGCTGCTAGAGTATTTCAGAGCAATTTTCCTCAACTTAATACTAAAATAGATGAGTAAATAGAAGAAGTATAACAATAAAAATCAAAGGAGCATGTACTGCGAATGCTTCTGGCTAGATGTTTTATTTCTTACTTAAGTAGGTAATAGTGTATGTCACCTGTTGATCCACTGAGAGAAAGGACTGGCTGGAAGACGGAGCAGTAGCTGTGGCATTGAATGTGTAGGGAGGATAATTCCAAATTCTTATAGAGTGTGGATTTCTTTCTCAAGAATAAAATTGGCCTGAAGCCCTCAAGGAAACGTGGAAAGATACATAATAGACCTGTAACCTAGAATGGAAATAATGAAGAAGGATTTCAGGGTCAGGATGGCTGACTAAATCAGAGTTCCCTGCTGTGTTCGTTACATCCAGTTTTCTCCTTTTTATTTTGTTTATTTATTTACTTGCAGTGCTTGTAGATATCTAGTAAATAGTTGTTCATCTTGCTACAATGTGTACAAGCACCTTGGAAAAGCTAGTTTATAACTATTACTGTCAACTGAATAATGAAAAATTAATGGTAAAATTTTGCTTCACTTGTTGTTCGAAAGAAGTTAACTGAGGTAGTGTTGCAAGTCTAATTTCTAACGCTGAAAGATGAATGTTCATTAAGTTTGTGTGTTCTTCCTCTTGCTTGACAGTAATATTATTAGCTCTTAAATGCAGTCTCACCATTACTAGGTTTGCTAAAAGTCACCTCTCCTCAGGTCTTACTTTTGATGAACGGGACATCATTGAAGGAGCCTTTCGCCAGGGCTTGATTAGAGTTCTAGCAGCAACCTCCACGCTCTCATCTGGAGTGAATTTGCCTGCACGCCGAGTAATTATACGAACTCCCATGTTTGGTGGCAAACTGCTGGACATTCTCACTTACAAGCAGATGGCTGGAAGGGCTGGCAGGAAAGGAGTAGACACAGAGGGTAAGCAAAGGCTTTATTAACATTCTCTAAGAATGGTGTTAACCTGATTAAATCCAGGGCAGTGCTTCGCAATTAGTGACTAATCATGATGAATTCCTTTGGTATTCAGTATGATTAAGTTAATCAAGATGAATTTGTTTGGTATTAATGGAGTAAAAATTGTAATTCCCGGGGGATTCTTTTCACTGCGTGACACTTACTTTGGTGTTTACATGTCAGTTACTTCCAGAATGGGCTCGTTTGAATTTGTTAGCTTCTAAGACTGTGTTGTTCATTTGCCTTAATTCTGTGATCTGTGGTCAGTTTACTAAAGCATTTACAGTTTCAGTGAGAAAATTGGCACTAAACTGTCGCTGGACAGGCCTAAAATGTAAGAAATACATTTAAAGTCCACAACCATAATTTGACAAACTTCTTTGGTCGTTTGAAGTTCTGATTTGGATTTATTAAACTTTCACTAAACTTAACCATAACTTTTATGGATCTTGAAAGTAGTAATGCGACAGAGAAACAGGGAAATAGGAACAGTAGTTCACAGATAGTATAGCGTCCTTGTGTCTACAGTGGCACTGATTAATGTTCAACAAAATAATCCTTCCTGTTATTTTAATTTGCAATGGAAATTTATCTTCATGGATGAGATTTGGAAAAAAATGTATTATCCAACTATAAACACAGTAGAAAATAAGAAATTCAACAGAAGCAGGAAGTGGAGTTTGCCCTACTGATGGTTTGATTGGTGCGTGCTGGAACCCTGTGTAAGCAGACTGTTCTTACATTTAACTTTCTATTTTTGCCAGAGTAGCATAGCAACAGAGCATTTTGCGACCTATATCTTTGTGAGCTATCCCTATGTGTTAAAGAAAAGGGCAGCTGCGTGCTGTATTTTGAAATTTTCCAGACTTTGTTATTTTAGTGTAGTTGGCAGGTGTAAAATTACATTATTCCTTGAAGTTTCTTTTTTTTCTCCCTCTTTAAATTACAATAATTAGTACCCTTTTTTGACAGTTCTGATGTGACTCTATTTTGCACAGTAAGCAGTTGATTTTATGCTGATGAGCTTCATGAGTGTACCATTTTTTTCCACTCTGCAGAGTCTTTTGGATGAGAACATAAAGCGACATTACCAGCTGCTACTCTTTCACAGAGTAGGGGGGAGACTGGAGGACAGCAACTCCAGCTGGAAAAAATGCCTTATGTGGATATGAAATTCAGCTGACAGAATATAAATGCTGTTGGTTTGATTTCCTCCTCCCCTCCCAACATTGTAGTGTTGAATTGTCTCAGGTTTTGATTTTTTAAATTTCCATCAAAGCAGAAAAAAAAAATTAAGAAAAATCAAAACCTGAAGCAATCCAATTCAATTATTTTTGCGTTCATCAAAACTGTCATGTTCCCAAGGTGAAATAGGTAAAGCTGTTCAATATCGCTGAACAAAACCTAGGAATATAATAGAGCCTTATTTGCTTTTAATGGAGTTTTATGCCTAGAAAGCCAGAGTCTTCCTGTTTGTCTAGTCTGATGCTAATCTTGACTTCCCCTCTTACCCGAAATGTTCAATAAGGGATCTTAGAACAGCTTAGTTTCTATTTTTTTTTTTTTTGGGTACTGTTTACTAGGTTGCAATTGTTGGCTTTATGTTCTCAGTGGCGTCTTGGGAAGGAGTTTCCCCCAAGTCTTGAATGACTGTCAGGTAATGTAGAACCAAGTGGATAGCCATCTTCTCTTAGATTTATCACACTGAACAGTCAAAGTTTTCAGGGGAAATTGTAGGTCACATCAGAACACAAATACGAGATGAGTGAATGTTCTTTATTGCTAAAATCAAAATTCACAAAACAATGTTTACAGGCAATTTCTCTTCTGTACTCTCAGCTCTGGCAAAAGTACATGGTTGAAAGATGTCAAAAGTTTCACCTGGCAGGATGAAAAAAACAACCCAGAGACACATCCTCTGAGCATGTTGTTCATCCTGTAATTCATGTATGTAATACATTTAAGCTGTATGTGGTTACTCACCTACACCGCATTTGTGGTATTTATTCTGTTCATTAAATTTAGGTGCAGTTGTGTTTTCATTACCTCTGGATTTGCTAATTACTGTCGCATTACCACGGCTACAGTTTTATCATAACTTAAAATTCCTAGGATCTTACTAAGATACCCACTACCAAAATTACCTTTTTGTCCAGACTATGTGCACTTAAATCTTAACAAGTTATCATAAACCTGTCATGATATTTATTGTCCAGCTAATCCAAATCTAACACTCTCTTCTTAGTCAAAGGCAAGCTTGTCCTACCCATAATTCGTTTACCCTGTGCCAATTGGCAAAGCTTCTACCTAGCTAGGTTTCCCAGGGACCTAATGGCTTTGTTGAAAAAATCTCCTTTGTGTGACCGCTGCATTTCCCATGGGTAGTCTGTACTGTTATCTTATTAAAGGAACTGGCCCATTATTTTTATTTTGTTTTCATGGCTCTGGGACCTTTTTTGTGTCCTACAGAATTTCAGTAGTTAGGGATTAACTTAACAATATCTGATAGAGAATTTTAAGGTAAGGTATATTTAGATGTACTTTCAATGGAAACCGTTCAGGATACTTAAGATTTTATGTGTGTGTGTATGCATGTATGTATACAGCAAATATAGTCAGAGAATGCATAGTTACTTAGATTAATAACTCTGGATTTTTTAATTACTGTGGTATCTGTGTTATTTGGGAGTGGAAGCTGGTTGATAACACAAACTGTCAAAGTGCTTTGCAGCTTTTATGTTTTCTTCTTGCTTTTAAGAATCTTTTTGGTTTAATAATGTAGCGCAGAAGAAAAATTGATGCCACTGTATATTAGAGTTCCAGTCAATT